TGAAAAAGGTCATTAAACAATTAATTACACTACAATGCAAACTAATATCTTCCACTATGTAGCCCAGCAACCCACTGTTCGGTTTATGTTCTCATGCTTTCTTGGTTTGATAGGCGAGGCTCGTATCAGAGAATCCCAGCATGCCTCTTTTCGACGGGGAAGTTTATCCGCGCTTTCCTGGGCTTAAGTGCGGAAAATTTTGGACTGAAGCACATGATAAAGTTCTACTCAAGGCAGTAATCAAGTAAGCTTTCCTAGAGAGATGGTGAACCTCATTAATGTACCTATAGAGATGGCCATATTCTCAAACTAATTGTGATATGCTATTCAGATTTGTCTAAAAATTATTAAGATCTCAGAAGTAGTTTCTAGATTCTAATAGTCAGACTGCCCCTGACAAAATAATGAGTCTCTTGGAGCAATAAAACCAGCGACTCGACCATCCTTGGATTTCTAGTGCATTTTGCTGGGACATCATACTGATGCCTTTTTATCTTGTACACACGCTGATAGCCAATGCTTTCCATTTCTACAAACTGATTTTCCTGGACCAACCTCTTGAATATGATTCTGTTTGGAGTTAAGTTTTTGCTATCGTATTAAGTGGATTGGGTTTGAAGTTCTAAATTGACTAGTGAATGATGTATTGCTTACATTCACTGATTTCAACTGTTCAGTGCCTTAACCCGTTTTCTGATTATTGCACTTTTAATTATTTGTCCGCTAAAGGCAAGGGTATGGACGATGGCAAGCTATCCTTGATGACAAGGACTTAAAGATACAAGAAGTTATCTCCCAAGAGCTGAATCTTCCCGCTATAAACCTACCGACCCCTGGACAAATGGCTGCTCAGGCACAAAATGGTGCCAGCTCCGGAAGTGCTGAAGGTCCAGGTATCCAGCCAGCCTCAGTAAATGTTTCCGCGAATGATCTTGGTACTAATATGCCCCATGGAACAAGTCAAGGGCAATCATACCAAGAATCAATACTTTACCAGCTCAGAGATATGCAGAGAAGAATGGTTGAGTTTGTTAAGAAAAGGGTGCTTCTTCTTGAAAAGGCGATGCACGCTGAGTGCCAGATACAATACTTCGTAAGTTGGTTAAGATTTTGATTAGATTACTCACGTTAGTTGCATTCATTAGTAGATGTGCGTTGGAAAGGTCATGTTAGGGATTCTAATTTTGCTTTGATTCTCATTTGCAGGCTAACCTTGATGCGAAGCCGGAGAAGAAAGGGCCTGGTAGTGAAACTAGGGGAGCCAATGGTACAGCTTCAGGCTCGGTGAATATTTATATGGTAACAAACAATCAATACCCTCAAATGGAAGAAATAAGTAAGTGATTTCTTTTTTTGCTTTCGCTAGTTGGCGCATGTAATTGGGACACTTGTGATGAACTGTAGACGTTCATGGCTGAATGAAGCATTTCACCTTCATACTTGGTCTAATAGTTGCCGACATAAAACAAGAAGATTTTCTACTGACGTGGCCCCATTTTCTTCCTCTTGCAGCACCAAAAGATGCTCTTACTGCTGGATGTGTAGATGATCCAGATCGGTTGGAAATGGTTGGCCTTTACAACAAGGTAATTGTTCGCAGTTACATCCAAGTTTAACAACTAAGTTCATGGACTAAGCTTCTCAGTAAATATCTGATCACATTGTTTCCACCGTTCTTCTCTCCAGATGTGCAAGACTGCTGACAATGTTGTTGCTCCTGAAGTAGCCGAGACATCTTCAAGAAGCCGAACAGCTAGTTTCGAATCGAAGCCTAACCTCCAGCCGCTGGAGACCGTCTGTGAACAGATGAGTCATGTTCTCTCAAACCCACAGCAGAAGAATGCAACGGCTTCAGAACAACCAGTGCCAGACATAGAGCCAAAGCTGTCTCCAGGTTTCGACAGGACGGAAGTTGATTTGCAGAATCAAATCAGCTCACTGTTTGGGCCTACGCCAGAGTCGGCCGATGTGGAAATGGGAGAACAATGGAAGAGCGATGCTAACCCGGGAATAGTGAGCAGCAGCAAAGCAAATGATGCTGCCACAGCTGCTGAGAATTAAACATCTGGTACTGGATTCGTCGCATTAGATGATTGAGAAACATGGACTCCAGGATAGGCTCATTGTGTTATTTTCTTTAAAGTCATAGGTGTGATTTTAAGAAGCAGCTGGTAGGATTTACAATAGAAACTTGGGGTAGGGGGTAACTGATGTAAAACAATGATCAATTAATTCTTAACAGATCAGTGACCTAAATTTGATAGAAGAATGGAATTGGAAGTCCTAGTTAACAGAAACATGAGCCTACTGCTACTTTTCTTGGGCCGGTGGACAGCCTTTGCTCGTCCAATTTTGGCTCGTCTTCAAAGCAAAACAACGTACACACCCGCCGAATTTATTTAAAAAGTCGCCCTATAGAAGAAACAACACTAGGGCTTAATTTTCACCAGTCACCACCAACATATTACCAATTCTAAGTTTGGAGCTCCTTCTTAGTAACTCTAGTTGTTGAAAGTGAAAAAAATGGGTCTTATATCATTGAATTTTCCTTTTAAATGCATAAATTCTTAGGAAAAAAATTCTCATTCCACGTAACTTGCACCAAAATGTTCCAAAATATACACGTTTGGAATAATCGCTGAAGTAATTAGTGATTTTGGTGAAAGATTGCTGGAGTCATAAGTGATTTTACCCAAATCGCTGCCAATAGAAGCGAGTTAGCTAAACCGCTACAAGCCCCTACCGTCTAGCTTCAAAATAGCTGGAGGCTCCATTGATTTGCACCTTCCACGCGTGGAATTTTAAACATACGTAACTTTTCACTCGATTATCCAATTTCCTTTATTTCCCAATTTTCTTTGAGAAACGATTAGTGAAGCTAAGTATATTCTACAGTTCGTTGACAAAAATTAATACTGTAAATATATATAACGGATAAACTTCAACCTTTGATTCTCTGAATTCAACGAAGTATAACGAAGTAGATCCAACAGCCATATTATTTGGAATATGATATACTATAAAAGTAGGACAATCGTTAATATATAGTGGAGAAGCTAACTAGCCAACTAGAGATGTATAAAAGAAATGAAGAGAGGACGGACGGAAAGGGATCCACCGGAGATGAGGAAAATGCTGGCAAAGGAGGAGACCGGCAGCAGACAAAAGAAAGACTACAGTGCTTCAATTTCACGCTAATGCTTTTTCCTGCTCAGCAGCAACTAATTAGATTATAATACTAAAGGGTTGCTTTAATTTGTTTTGCATGCTGTACAGTAAAGTAGTCTAATGTGATCACCTTAACAGATTTCCACACGTAAATTAATCCCAACCTTCGCCGACCCTTTGCATTAATTAGCACTGTAGATAGCTAGGGCAGACATATATGCCAGCTAGCTATCTCTAACTCTATAGCTTTGCTTTCAGTAGCTTTCTATAGTTCGTTTTCGAGGAGGATAGTAGCTAAGGATTTTGTTCCGAGAATAGTTGGAAAATGTCACACATTCTATCTATTTCATACTAAAATCTGTATGTTGTTTTTGAAGTTTAATTCACGTACAGTCGTACGTTACGTTGTCTTTAGGGAAAGCATTAATATTGAGTTATCAAAAATGGAATATAAAGCTTCTAAAATATTTAAACCCCATTGAAAATGGAGTTTTGTGATAGTGATGAGAATTTGAATCTGTTCTGTTGAGTGTTATCCGATATGATTCGTGTTGAGGCAGGTAGTAGTGATTCGTAGTAGTATAGGGCTAGATATGGGTACTACTTCCGTCCTGCTTTTTGTCACGTCCCACCTCGTTCTTGGCCCGTTCTACCTTGATTTGTCTCGATATTTAATTATATTTATCCTATTTTTACTTTAGATAAGTGCAAGACTTCATCTTTCAACTAATTCACTCAATTAATTAATCTACATATTATTTTTATTAGTTAAAATAAATATTTTTTTCAAATTATATATAAGAATGAATCGACCTTTCCCGACCCGTTTCCGCATGGATATTACGCAACATGATTTGCACTTAGTGCAAAAAGAATATGAGTTTTGAATTATCCATACTGCACTTGTCTCATTGTGATCACTAGTTTGTGCTATCCCTTGGCCGGAGGGCATTGTACATTTGTACTAGGCGTCGTAGTCTTGGTACATAATATGTCCTAACATCATAGTACGTACATATACAGTACCTAAATCGAAATATGGTTGTTGTTTAAGGTTTATTTTGCGCTTTCTCTTGGCCGTGTTGAGGACCCAAATCTTGAAAACAGAAAGTTCAGAAATTCAAAATTTACTAAAGATAATCACTACCCAACTAATTAAACGAAGGTTTGATCTCTCTATGATGAATACAAACTAGATGATATGAATGGCTGACCAGAAACCGGAATTTCCTGACAAGATGTTCATCAACTCCCCAACAAATATGGCCAATCCATAGATACCCATATCCGATCTGAATCCTTATAAATACAATACAGACAATAGGGCATATATAACAATAATAATATGTCCTTTTTTGTGTGTGTGTGTATTATAGTACACACACTATAGACAAGTAGCTAGTGGGTCATTTTCACTAGTCGTTCAAGCAGCAGTGCGCTCCAGTTCAATATAGTAAATGCATATACAAGATTCATCCCAACCCTAATATCAACTAGTTCTTATTATACCTTGCAATATAAACAATAGTAGAGTAGTAATAGAAAATAAACAAAATAATAGTTTCTCTCAATTATTATATATACTATATCATTTTAGGTTAATTAGCGCCCTTCTCTAACCTCACAAATCCGACAACATGATAATCATCATCAACAACAACAACAACATCATTAACCTTGTATTACTTAAACAAAAAAACCATAAAGAGACTCTCTTAGCTAGGTTTTGCCATTCCCAAAGGACCACTAACATATAGTATTAAAAATAATAATGTACATCATAAGCATTCAAACATATCATTATATAACTCAGAATCAATCTTTAGCTATATCACTCCAACTTCCTCTCTACATCGATCGACAAAACCCAATTCCTCCCCTCTTTTATTCATACATATTCTCCCAACCCCATTAATCAATGGCTGCAGTAGTTTCAATCATTAAGACAGATAGAGTGCTCCCCAAGAAATCCCTCCTCCCTCCCAAAATCATCACCCTCTCGAATTTGGACCGACAGTGTCCAACTCACATGTACTTAGTTCTGTTCTACAAACAGCCTGCTGCTGCAGATCATCATCATCATCTCCAGCGGGCCGATCTGCAGGATTTGGTTTATGGTGGGCTGAAATCCGGGCTGGAGGAGACTTTGGAGGCCTGGTACCCTGCTGCAGGAAGGCTGTGTGTGGATCCAGAAGATGGGAATAGGCTGAACCTTTGGTGCAACAACGAAGGTGGTGTTTTGGTGGAGGCTGTGACTGAGGTCAAGATCTCTGAGCTTGGAGATGATCTCTCTCAGTACAATGAATTTCTCGAGAAGTTGGTGTATAAGCCGGTTTCCGATGTCGATTGCTTGTCCCATATGCCTCTCCTTGTTGCTCAGGTACGCCCGTTAGTCAGCACGTTTGATTCATATGCCTTCAGATAGCTGGCTAGCTAGCTAGGCTGAGTGTCCTACCCATATTGATAATTCAACATGTGTGCTATGATAATTGATTAGGGTGCGGTTTTGTTAGTAAGTGGTATATGATTTAGAATTGTAACATCTCCAAATAATTTGAGTTCTTGAGATCAATTAGTTCTTGATGATGAGATGGTATCATAGCTAGCCTTCTTTGATCTGTGCAACTCAGGTGGTTTCCGTCTGAGAGCAAGTGCGTTTATTGAGCGTTATATGATCAATAGCTGAACATCACAACTACAACTCGAGTTATTGAAATGATCAACTGCGATTAGTGTATAGAGTAATTAGCTCCTATGATCTGGGAAATTTTACATATAATTTGAGTAGGGTTTGAGGTTTCCGGTTTCTTGTATATAATATTTATCTATGATGTGAGCTTGTGAAAATTGATGAATTTATGAACAACTAGCTGTTCTTGTGATAATTACATAGATTATGTAACACTTTAGGCAAATCCCACATCGATAAATCACGGGAGAGATCCATGGTTCATAAGCAGGAAACCGACCTTAACTGATAAGATGCGTTTGGGGTGTAATGGAAGAGTTTTTGTGAGAACTCCAAAGTTAAACGTGCTCAGTGTGGAGTACAACAAGGATGGATGACCTTATGAGAAGTCACCCTGAATTGCACCCCAAGTCAAAATCCATGTGGGTGTAGAGGCTCAAAGCAGACAGTATCTTGTTGGGTAAAGATTCGGGATGTTACAGACTATTGCATCCTTTTTAAAACAAATAATCCAATTTTTCCGATTTGTTTATCCATCTAACCATTAATCCTCGAGTTAATTATCATAATCCAACATACTATCTTTTACACAAATGATTTTATTGTTAAACTTTTTATTTTTACCATAACCCTACATTATAATTCGACTAATTATCATACATGATGTTCTGACGTCTTGTTTTTGTTCTTGATTAAGCATGCATATATATAATTTGTCATCTTGTTTATGAGTACGTACGTACATAGGTGACGAGATTCGGGTGTGGAGGGTATTCAATAGGGATAGGGACGAGCCACTCCTTATTCGACGGCCCATCCACCTTCCGCTTCCTCTCCGCCTGGGCTTCGGCGGCTTCTGCTTCTGCTGCTGCTGCTTCACCGTCGTCATCGCAACCTAAGAGCAGTTGCAGTAGTATCGTCGATCACGATAGACGGAGCTTGACGTCTCTGGGTTGTGGTGATAACGACGAAAAAGGAACCAAGGCAGCAGACGCGGCGGCCATTGACCATCTCTACCGCTTGATTCATCAGCAACAAGCGGCCAAGGGCGATGATGATGATGATGATGATCAGAAGAACGGCGGTAGCTTGGTGCTCAAGACTTACCATCTCGGCAGTGCAATGATAGACAAACTACCAAGGAATAATGGGATCGCCTATTCTTGCTCCTCGTTTGAGATCGTAGCAGCTCACTTATGGAAGGTAATTATTAATCTTATAACTCTTTTTATTTTGGTTAATTCATATGCCTCCAGACCAGTGTGACAAAAGAAAAAAGTAGGCAATATGAATTTTTTTTTAATGATTGTTGAACTCGAGTTTCGAATTTAGTGAGTCGTAAATATTATTCTCTTATATTATCATTAGATCAATTGTTATCATTCAAATAATAAAACAATTAATTCATTTCTGTAAAATAAGGAGTGACAGATGATCTTGTGGCATGCGGTTGATGTGAAATAAGGACTCATATTGTGATGGTTTTTGTCGTCACACAAAGCAACAAGAAACCTCAATCTTGGGTTACTAACTCCTCGTGATTAGAAAAGTATTAGTGTCTAGTGCTAAAAACATCTATCGTAATTTGTAATCCTAAAGAGGATGATATAATCAAAGTAGAATTTGCAACCAAATCTAAATTTGTGGCGAAAAACTTTTGAGTCATGACTTGAGGCCAAGGTTGTCAAACCGGTTTAAGTCATTGAGTCGGTCAAGCAAGGGGTTTGAGGTTTAATGATCTGATTGGGGTCCGGCCGGTTTAAGTCGTTTTAGACGTTTTCTAAATATATATACAAATATGGTAGTAATTAAAGATTTAATGACTGAAATAAAATTTATCTTGCATATATCTATTAAAAACTTATTTTCAACAAAATAAATCTACTTAATCTCCATGATACATCCACCGTTTCTCTTCCTTCGTTCATCTTCCTCTCTTTCCCTTCTCTTCTTCTCCCTCTTTATGGGTTAGACCGGGGACTTACTGGCAGCCGTTTTGAAGCCCAATTCGGTCTGATTGGGTCCAACCGGGGGTTTAACAATCTTGCTTGAGGGCGTGTGATAGGATTTCTAAAATGAAATTTATCATCTCAGTCTCATTTTGTCCCGGTTTGACTTTTTTTCAGGCGAGGAGCAAAGCTTTACTAGGACCAAACAACCAATCAACCATGGTGTGCCTCCAATTCGCCGTGGACATACGAAACAAGCTCTCCCCTCCACTCCCGGCGGGCTTCACCGGCAACGCCTTCGTGCTAGCCTCCGTCGCAACGACGGCCGGCGAGCTACAACAATCCACCCACCAATCCATCGTCGACCGAATCCGGCTCGCCAAGGCCTCCATCACGCCTGCCTACGTGGAGTCCTACATGGCAGCGCTGGACCGCCAGCACGGCAACAGCAGCCTCCCGCCTCTCAGGGAGCTCACTCTCGTGTCTGACTGGACCAGAATGCCCTTCCACAAGCTCCATTTCCTAGGTGGAGATCGTGACGTGGACTGCGCGTGTCCGCTGCTGACACCTGTCCCTCAGGTTGCTTACTTCATGCAGAGTCCCGTCGATGCCAAGGGGATTGACGTCAGGATCGGAGTTCCTGCCGGCGATGTCGAAGCCTTCACTGCCGATTTCATGGCCGCTATGGTTTGAATGTGTGACTGTAAGAACTTCATGTTATTGTCGACTGTTATGTATACGTTGTATGGTTTGCTTGATGTGTAACCAAGTACAATACTAGAAGACGACAATAATGTATGTTGAGAGAATAAAGTAATTGTTTGGGCCTAGAGAGATTCGGCCCATGGAGGGAAAGTGGAAGGGAATGAGCTTGGTGGGCCAAGAGAGATCTGGGTCGGCCGAAAGACCAGCCTGGCGTGTGGATCCCTCCTGTCTCTCTGCTGGTGGGAATGAGGGATTTTGGTCTCAAATTAACCCACCTGCTTACTTTCGAGTTATGGTATAGTTGTGATTCACTATTCATTCACATTCTTCTTTGGATAGAGTTGGGTGGATAGATGGCGGTTAGTTGTGGTTGGGTTGTGGGTTAGCCCGCCAAAGCAATTTTCCAACTAGCCATTAAGAAAGTTGGTTGATATTTATAATAAGTTCTTCACAAATTAGTAAGATTCTATGATCGATTTAGACGCTTTCTCACTTTGTATCATGCGAATCCGTGTATAATTTGGATCAAATTTTTCATTAAGTCGGTCAACCAATTGTGTAGAGAAAACCAGCGAATTTTGCGACTTTGATACAATTAATAATTTCTAATTTGCATATCAATATCGAATCGTCATTTGCACAACAACATATGGTAGCCAGTAACAGTAGTTCAAAATTGTTCTTTATTCTCCATCTTTAGAAATCGATTGTGACTGTACAGTGCAATTAGAAAATATGGTGAATATTCAATAGTATAAATAAACAAAATAACATTTTTCTCATATGAAAATATGGTGCGAGTCATTCGGGTGACCAATAGTCCGCTCATCTCAATCCTAGCTGAACAAGTACGGGCGAAAAGGGCCGGTGCAGGGCGACGTAGAGAGTGCGCAAGGGCATCTCGGATGAAACAAGAGGAAGCAGCACACACAAAATCTCCACACCCTAGCAATGGCTACACTTTATTGCAGAATACGAACTGATCTCCATTGCTATTAACTTATTACGAAAATTTCCACTCTGGCTCTAAGTTAAAACAGAGGCGATGAGACAAAACGAAAGGAAGTGAGAAACAACGACCACATACACCTTGCTGCAATTCTCTAGAGCAAAGGTGGGGAAAAGGCTACAATGGTGGTGCAAGCAATGAACTATGAATTCCACAAAGAAACCCTTCTTCGTCCAATGATTACCGGTTGCATGATGCCTCATAAGAATCTATGTTATATATGCATTTGCTTGCTGCTTACTTACTGTCGAGAGAATAACTTCTTTATTAGTTTCACCTGGTCCATTCCTGCACCATCATCAGCGAAAAAACAGTCAAAGCTGGTTAAATGATGTTCTGTTAAGCTTACACCACAGCTAGGTTGTGTCATATAACAAACGGAAAACTGAGCTTACCCGAGTGGTCATAAACCCAGCTACATCTTCCAAGGAGCCAAAGTGACTGTGACCCGTCTGCAGATTATGTTGCTGGTTTGGTTGGCGTGCAATCGACACCCGAGGTATCTCCACTGATAGACCATTATGTTTCACCGACGATGTATCCAAGAAATTCGATTGTCCAGTTGAACTGAAGCTCGGAGTTCTCAGCAAGCTTGCATTATTTGCATCCCATCTCTGATTAATCATATCCACCCCACCATTATCTTGAATCGACAAGTTCACTGAACTTGATCCCACATTATTGAAGTGGTTGTAAGAAGGTGCAGCCAATCTATCCCAGCCCTGCTGTGGAGCATTACTCATCATTTGGGCACCATTACTGCCAGCAGAAGCAACCCGACATCCTGAGTCTGCTTTTGTGCCCTGAAAATGAATCGGCAGTGAAGAGCGCGAAGGGACATCACAATGATCAAGGAACATGGTTGTACTGCCGGTGGAATGAGCAGAAGCATTTGACCAGTTCTCATTGCATCGACCATGATCAAGGAGCAAGGGCTTTTCTGAAGCCCCTACCACGAACGAACCATTCGAGCCACTGCCAACAACCATACTCATGTCAGGAGGGAAAGAAGCAGTAGTAGTTTCAGTAGCAGAAGGAATGTGTTGTCTAATGTAATTAAGCCCCTTATTGTTCGTCTGTATTTGATCAAGTTCTTGCGAAACCGGCATCCCTTGTAAAACATCTGCATTGCTTATTCCTGACTGGAACTGTCTCTGATTAGTAGTCAAATGGTTTCTGCCACCTTGTACATGAGATGCTACTTGTACCATTCCAGAAGAAGGAAGACCGTGAATGCTCATACCAGCTGGTGAATTCAACCTCCCGAGCATGCCATTCGGATTTACAGATCTGTAACCTGCTCCATTATGAAATTGCCCATTTCCAGCAACATTATGTAACCCATATCCGGTCAAAGAACCACCCATTTGCAAATATGAAGCATCTGTGCTCACTAAAGCTGCTGCCATGTTAGCATGCTGGTTCGCCACTGTGCTGATCCTTCTGAGGTAAAGCCTATATTTCTACAGCCATCGAAAGAAATGGAGCAAGCAAACTATTCAGTGGTAGTTCGCTGCAGTTTAAACAAGCACAGGAGGGATTGGGAGTATGATATACATACCTGAAGGTGACTTGCCACATTTTCTCTCGACAGCTTCTCAACATTCATTAGCTCCAGAATCTTCTTTGGTACAGCCTCTGCGAAATATCAATGAGGGAAACAGAGAAACTTGAGAAATCAGACTATGAAAGGGTTATCCATGAGAACATTAGATCAGAACAAATACATACTGTCGATGCCCAAGTGATTGACAGCAGAGACAAACTTGCGATGCAGCTCCACAGACCAAACAACTCGGGGTTTCTTCTGGCTGCTGGGGTCGTCATTGTCATTTCCATTCTCATCAAGGTCATCATCGTCTTCACCATTTTGGTCCTTTCTTTTCTTGTTCAGTTTGTGGTCCGATGTTGCTTCGCCACTCTGAGAATGAGGCTTCACCGTGCTATCAACATTGCTCCTATTATCAGTCTTCTTCCTCCTTACAACATGCTGCCATATGTTCTTGAGTTCCTCAATCCGAATTGGCTTCAGCAAGTAATCACAAGCGCCATGAGTAATCCCCTTCATCACCACCTTCGGATCACCATTAGCTGACAACACTGCAACCAACAACCGATTACCAAAAGTTTAGCAAATGGGACCAGTAATAGTTAACTAGCATACGAGCCAGTGTAGGGATTGAGATTTACTTATGACAGGGAGATCCATTTCAAGCCCAACTTTCTCGAGTAAATGGAAACCATCCATGTCTGGCATATGAACATCACTGATAACAAGGTCAAAGTCGTTCCTCCTTTCTCTCAAAATCTTCAATGCCATCCTTGCCTGACTAGTAGTAGTCACTGCAGAAATAACAAAAAGACCCCCAAAACCCAAATGAATCTGGCAATCAATTCTCTGCCATGGCACTAACCATCATGTAAATTACAACAAAACCAGTAAAGCACAACGAGGAACCATTATGAGAGTTAGAACAGATCCATGAGATTCAATGATTTCAGAGAAAGAGGTCAACTGAGTGTCAACAACTGCTCATGATTGGAAGTACACATGAACTACAACTATCTTTCAAAAGTACTAATCTTTCCAAGGGACCAACAGGGCAATCAAGCAAAAGAAATTCCCCCTCGTATGACAAAAGCTAACACCCGAAAGGAAGAGCTCAATTAAATGAAGTCAACGGTCACAAAGATGTCAAATTTACCATAACCATTAGCAGAAAAAAGGGGCCAACAAAAAAAAAAACCAGACCCTCTAAAGAGAAGGCATCAAGGAGCAAAACCCACCAATCAAAACAGAAACTTGACAAAAACACAAAAGAGAAATTGAGAAGGGGAAAGAAGGAAGACCATGATATTGGCATTTGCGAAGCAGGGTTTCCAGAACCATGAGGCAAGTTAGGTCATCGTCGACAGCTAGTACCCGCATGCCGATGGGGAACTGGTCCTGATTCCCTCCAACTCCTTGCTCCACAGTCATTTTTTCGGTGTTAGAAGAACACCAAAACCACAAAAATCAACCGGAGAAAGAAAGAAAACAACCGGAGAAAAAAAATTTGAGGGGGAAAAGGTAAAGTGTGAAGAGAGCGGAAGGCGGCGTTGACACTGTTGTGATTTTGGGGTTTAATGCTCATGAAGGATTGAGAAGCAGGGCTAGAGAAATGGAAGGGTGAGTGTTAATTAGAGAGAGAAAGCAAGGAAGGAAGGAGAGCTAGTGGGGGGGAAGAATGGAATCTGGAAAACAAGAAATGGACGGTGAGAGCTGGATTCCGGCGTGAGTTATGCTTTGCTGTTTAATCAAAGATCCAATCTTTTTATCTTTTTCTGAACTTGGACTGAATTTGCTGTTCTTGAAAGGAGTTAATTGCGCTAATGTCAAGGTAATCTAAAGATGAGAAGGGCAGGTCCAGAGAAAAGCTGCGGAAAGCTAGTTTACTTACTTTAAGAAGTCAATAATATTGTTACAATAATTATTAAATAAGAAATTGATTTACTATCTCTGATCTAATCCTAAACCATTAGACCATATTTAACTCGATTTCTGAGCTGTAGCCTCTATAGTCAAAAACAAAGGACATGCAGGACTTGATTTGTGAGCAAGTTTTGGTAACAGCTGCCTGAATTGAAACGAAAGGCAAATATGGTAAAAAAGATATTTACAGTGGTATGAGACTATGAGTGGCAGAAAAAAGAGACCCTTTTCTGGTGTAAGCGTGCTTCAGAGGCTCTGCGGCCCAATTTCTTCGGTCAACCTATTTTCTTTCCAAAAAAAATAAAATTTGTAGGGCTTTTCTCATATGTTTGTGTAGACTGCTTATTGGTGCTTTTAATTTTGTTTATTGGGTTATTAGTTGCTTTTGCTCAATCAACTTTAGCTTTAACAGGCCACAGGTTTGTTTCTTTTAACGCAAATAAAGTCCTCCAATCTTTTATTTATTTGATTGCCTCTGGATAAAGCATCTATACCTTTGGTTTGGTGTCTTTTCGCCTCATGATCATATAGCAATGCAGCCACCGGAATCAAGAACTGAAGTACTGAAAAAACCCACGGCCACTTGCTAATTAAGTAGCAATAATTTGAACTGGTTTGGCAGTTTTTTTTAATATGTTGGTGGTGGTGTTTTTGAGGAGAAGGTGAACTAATTGTAAATAGTTATGTGGGGATTCAGATTGTAAATAATTCTATTAGTTTTCAGATTAGATTTTGATACTTTTTGGTGTAATCAAGGTATGTTTTTTTTCCAGGGGAATAATGGCTGCTTTATAAGATTTTTTTTTGGTAGGATGCGGCTTTATAAGATTACTGAGTCGAAAGCAACAATATAGTCGATTTTATTACGCAAATTAAACACATGGCTTCTTCAAAATGTCGCTAAAGAAGCGATATGGGTAAAGGAAGTTGGTTACCATATTTTGGTGTGATTCCTAGCATCGTTAACTCTAACGAGCTCTATTGTACCAAAAGGGGAAAAAATGCAACGACATGTCGGGTATAGGAACCAGGATTATATGGATGTACATGCAGTGAGATAGTATTGAACATAAAGCAAAGTGTGCAAAACTTAGAAATTATTGCTTAGATATAATTGTTACTATCACGATAATTTATCTTTCTGAATGAACAAAAAATTTACGTTAGATCTACGAAATCCTCCGAATAACTTTGAACAATTTCATTTTTCCAACAAAGTGAAATTGTCATGATCAAGGCTACATAAAGTGTGGATTATATTTCAATGGCTTGTCCACCACTCAAATGATGAAATTGAAAGGCCTAGCAAATCAGCTTCCATTTCAATGCCCACTACTAATATATCATGTCATCCTCATCACCCTCTCAGTCCTTTCTCGTGGGCTATATTTTGCTAATGGAGGGACAAACAACAATTCTTTTGCTTTTGGGTTCCACACAGGAAGTAAACAAACCCTACCAATCTATATGTTGATGCAACTTCCACTGTAGATCCTTTCCTATGGGTTTCAAGTTATATACGCACGAGGTTGAATCCGACTATGGTGCTTATAACAGTTGGGCATCTACGAGAATGTGCTCACAAACATTTTGTGCTGGTCGAATCGAGCACGGGCGCTCCGCAGTTGTCGAATGAACATGAGGATATTTATGTAAATAAAATGTCATTGCTCTTCATTTGACGGCTAAGAAACATCCATGTCGTGGAATTTTTTTATAGCTTTTTTTCCCCTACATTTTCTAGGTAAACAAGAGTCAACTATCCTGATTCATCTACTGTTCCTTGTCTCCCAACCATGAGAACTCATTGCATATGATATGATCATGGCCATGGGTTAGGTAGATTAGGAAGATTTGGACAGAAGATACGTCAAAGTCTTAATGATTTGTAAAACACAACCCGATAATTTAAACTTTTGGATCAAGTTCAAAACTGTTTCATGGCACGCAGCAGCAGAGGAATGGCCACAGGCAATTCCTCTTCTCATGATAATAAGATTTTGCTCCTAATTAATTAATTAATATACAATCTAGAAGGTTTTAATTAGATAGCTAGCCATATATAGGCACTAATTCAGAAATCAAATCGCAATTACCAATTCAAAGTGCTTACAATAATCTTTCCAGATCGAAATTATGATTAATGGGTACTTATATAGCCATCTAGCCATCCTTCTCAGTTAGTTAATTAGTGAGCCAAAAAACCCCACATTGTGGATCCATGCAAAGATCCCAATACTACCAAACCTTCACACTATTATATCCAAATTCCTCGTATTCTTCTTTTTATGCAGAGCGCACATCGCCCACCATGCTTTTGACTGTCGATTATCGTGTTAGTTTAAGTCTAGGGTTCTGCTTAATCTCAATTATTATGCAGAGAGAGAGAGAGAGCATGAAAAGTTGGTCGCAACCAATAGTACGCAGACTTGATCTAGTGAAAGATTAATTAAAAAAAGTGGGGTTATGATAATTAAAAAGTAATTAAAAAGATATGAAGAAGATTCATGTTGAGTGCCAAATCTTTGAGAATTGAGATTCCCTCTGCTGTTAATCTGCTCTCTGCCCTTTTTGCAAGGCACATGAGCTCTCAGTCTCTCGCCCTTTGGCTGGCGTGAGTAGGAAATAAAGCCCCCCCAAACATTTCATTAATTATTTATTATACAAATATTAATGAATTATTTTGATATATGTTAGAAACAAAAAAAAAAACACACTGATTATAAAAAAAAAAAACACACACCGTTTAAATCATAAATTAATCTAAATCTGAGGTATGATAGCATAAGCTATTTAAATCATGAATTAATCTAATTTTGAGGTATGATAGACGCTCAAATTGATTGTATAAAACAATGAGAAACAATAATAATTCGCCGAAATACATACAACGTACCAAATGCACCTTCTAAGAATTTGAAAGATTATGATCTACTGTTTAGTTACTCGAGTTCATAATATATTATCATTTATAAAATTTAACTATATTAAATAGTTTTAGTTTATGTAGGGTATAATATATTTTTACAGAAGTAACCATACGATTTACATAGGAAAAGGAAAAAATTATTTCGGAGTTCAGTTGCCTTTTTTGCATGGATTACGAAACCGTACCGGACATCAAACCGGAATCGTTTTTGACATGGTAAATCGTGGTACAACCATGGTTCAACCGTTTCCTACCGGCAAATACCGTTTTTGGAATAAAAAAATTATTTTTTTGTTAAAAAACCGTACCGACAAAATTAGGGTACCATACCGGGAAAATACCGGAACAAAACCGGATTATACCGCCTAAGAAACTGTAAAAGAGTAAATAAGCTTAGGTAACATTCAACAAAGTGCGTGATTTCAATACCTAATAAACCTCATAATCATCCAAATACATTTTTAGAAACTAGTACAAAAACCACAAGCTTAATGTTCACAAACCACAAGCTTAATGTTCAACAAACCACAAGTTTAAACTTTAATGTTCACAACCCACAAGTTCAATGTCTCAAACTAGAAAGTAGAAACTACTAATTGGATCTTTTGTTTGAAATCAAATCCATATCTTCAAGCAACTCCAAATGTAGAAAAGTCAACATTCGGGAACTCGTCTCCTTCATCTTCTTCATCACTAACTACAATACAAAAAAAAAACAAGTAAGAAACATTATAAATTATGACGTATTAGAATTCACATCATAATAACTAATTCACACACCTTCCTCTGCAAGTGCTCGATCGAGCTCATCAATATCCAATTCCTTGTCTTTAGAAGATGCCCCTTCATTCTCTTCTATCAACCACTCAGTAGTAATATCAGAATGAATGCTTTCAAGAGAAATGGGATCATATGATTCTTTGTTCTTCATGGCATAATACTCTCTGGTCAAAGTGGAATGCATATATTGATTCAGTTCAATAGTAAATATAAAAACTAGAACAAATAATAATTCACAAGTTTATTCATACCTATTCTGCAGTCGCAAGTTGTAATTCACAAACACCAAATCACTAAGCATTTTGTGCTGCAATTTGTTTCTTCTTTTGGTGTGCACACGTTCAAATACACTCCAATTACGTTCACAGCCAGAAGAAGAAGCAGTTTGTCTAAGAATGCGAATAGCCAACTTCTGCAGATGCGGAGCATCAATACCAAACCATTTCCACCACTTATCTGCATATTAAGCATACATGTTAGTATCTTAATTCTTAATAAACAGAACTAGTATTAATGTACATAAATTCAATTACCTGGTTGTAGCTTTTGCGCAGAATCAATTGCTTGCTTCCTCCCAAAATTACCTTTTCGTTCAGAATACAAAGTCAGCTCCTCAAGCACCACATTTGTATCAGGACATAAGGATTGGTTCTCAAGAAGATCAAGAATGCCATTTTTAATAGGCCTTGTATCTTCAAAATCGTTGGCATACTTGAAAGCTGGATTAAGGAAGTATGATGCCACAAACAAATCACGGCTCAAATGTTTATCCCACCTCTTATTAATGAGGTCTATGTAAGGCTTGTACTGCTCCACCTTATCTCCACAAACAGCCTTCACAGCTTTTGACACTCTAATCATCCCATCATGTACATACCCCATAGCTGGTTTACTATCTGAATCCACAATGCGAAGTAACTTCACTATTGGCATTGTCAACTTAACTATGAAGTCACAATCCACCCAAAACTGTTGATCCAGTACAATTGACTTCACATCCTTTCCAACCTGCATTTTCGAGAACTCACTATCTCGAAAGAATTCACTAATGACTAGAGCCTCCAAGTCATTCATATGCTCAAAAATACTTTGCAAACTCAGAAATGTAGTTGCAAATCTTGTAGCTCCAGGCCTCACTATTTCTTTCCAATTATCTCTTGTCTTCAACCAGTAATAAAGTGGGCCATGATTATAAACAAATTTAGAGATTTTGGTTGCTCTATATGCAAGAGTCTATGCCTATGATCTGTCCAACCATCTGCCATAATGGTGCATCCAGATTCCTTCCAATGAGATCTAAGATTCTCAATCAATATCTGACATTCTTTCACAATGCTATCCAATAAAGTAAACCTCAAAGCATAATATGTAGGACCACCATAACCAGGACCAAGGGTTAAAGAAGCATCCAATGCAATTTTAAACTGTGGAGATTTAATTGCTTCTAAAGGAACACATGCATCATAGAACCACCTAGCCCATGCTCGATCTACATACAATACAGCTTCTTTAGTTGCTAAGGCACTCTTTATTCCTGGTTGGCTACCAGAAGTTGATCGTGGAGCAAAGAAAGTGTCAAGTGATCCAGTAGACACATTTGTGGAAGTAGCAACTCTTTTAGAACTAGTACCATCATCATGTGCACTAGAAGAACTAGTCTCACGAGGTTCTTTAAATCAAGCTTTGATAAGTTCAGATTTCTTCTTATTAGCTTCATAATCAGTCAAAAGTTTGCTCAAGTTTTGCCTCACCTCGGGAGGAACCTTTGTACATACAGCATTATCCCCACTAACTCCAGCTAGATGTCTTTTCATTCTAGTGATTCCTCCACCTCTGAATACTTTCTCACAATATATTCAAGTGCGTACCTCAACCTTTCCCTCAAGATGAAAGGTACAATGATTCCAAGTCGGATCAGTTTTGGCCCGTACATTCTTTGTTGACACTCGTGGTGTACTAGAAGCTGCTCCTTGCTCAACTGCCGGGGTTTCTTCCCCGCTAGCCATTGCTGTCACAATAAAAACAATAAACATAATATTAGTAAACAATAATAAAAACAATAGCCATTGCTGTCCACGTTAATTTTTCTTTCTAATGTCAATTCCTCCTCGACACTCGGTCAAAACACCAGCCAATTTTTGCACCTGATCACGCATCAACCACACTACACCACCAATTTCCTCAATTTCCTCAATTTCAGACTCAATTTCGTGCAGCCCTGACCCAATCCTTCCACCAATTTCAGACTCAATTTCAGACTCAATTTGAGGTTGAGATGATTTTGTTTCTGCGTGCAGGGAAGAAGAACAGAGAGAGATCGATTGGCGGATGAGGGACTTGTATATACTGAGACGAAGACCAAAGAAGACCAACACAGGAAACAATCCGCCATTTTAGACCTATATATATATTTTCTCTTTGACCAAAACCAAAGAAGAAGAAGAACATACGTTTCCCAAGTTTGAAAGGAGGCCTCTAAGTGGAGTGAGACGTCGAATGGCCTCAGGAAATCTGGATTAAGAAGAAGGAAGTGATGGCGGGGTCGCGGGAAAGTGGCGGCCACGATCTCTGATTGGAGCGATGAAGGGCGCGGTCAAGGGCGCGGTCGCCGGTGGTGTTGATCGCCGGTTGCTGGGGATGCAGAGCGGCGCGACGCGGGGAGACCTGAGCGGCGCGACGCGGGGAGACCAGAGCGGCGCTGCTGAGTGCTGGGAGAGAGAGACGAGAGGCAGGTAGGGTTTTTGCGCTGCTTACCTTCCCTTCCGTTTTTTTTTCTTCATCAAACGGCGCCGTTTGTGTAAAATGAAGGGACCGCCGGGTTGGTTTTAAACCGGCCAAAATTTCGGCCCATTGCGATCCAACCGCAAATACCGCCCGGCAGGTTATTGAAGGGTACAAAGCCCTATTACGCCGGTTTACCTCCGGTTTCCGGTTTTTCCGGTTCGACCGGCCGGTCCGGTAGGGTATCCTGGTCCTTGCTTTTTTGTGGCCGGCTGCATAAGATAAAATGATAGAGATGCCTGCCTGCTGGCTGTTTATGTAAATATATGCCATTCTAATTTCTCTGTCTCTGAACCAGAATAAGAATCTTTTTAGTCATTGACTCGTGTAATTGCATACGTACGTATTTGATATTTCCATGTCTTTTTTTTTGTGTATTTACGAAACAAAACAACGGTTACGCTTTGTAGAGCTAGTCTAGTTGTTTACCTGGCGAGATCCTTCGGTGAAGTGCAAATTATAGAGCAGAAAAATGGATCCTTACATTTGAAACCAGATCAACATTACGTTACCGTTACCTTGGTTTCGTACTGCAACACAAATTAGTTGCTCGCATGGTGATTGGGATGGCAATGGGTCAGGTTGGGTCGGGTTTTGCCAAACCCAAACCCAAATTCATGGGGTATCCGTGAAAAAAATCCGGGGTAAAACCCACTGGGTTTGAAAAACTCAAACCCAACCCAACCCGCTGGGTATCCACGCCAGCGGGTTCATGGGTACCCACGGGGTTTTGTCGTAAAAAATTTACTAACAAATTCCTATCAAAATTAAAGTCAAATATCAATCTCCCAATACAAATTATCCATATATAAAACACCATTCTAGAAAATTAAAGCAAATCACAAATTAACTATACTAATTGTTCAACACCAATCTAGAAAACTCAAGAAAATTCAAGCAAATCACAAATTATCCATAAATAACATGATTAATTGAAAGCTTCTTCCTTTCAATTAATTTTTTCACTCTCCACTCGATAACATCAACTTCATACTACATAACTAGAAAGAAAAAATTAGCCATGTCTCCACCAACATAAATAAGATTAGTTGTTTAGAATATTAAATATGCCGAGAAAATTAATTATATGGGTGTGGGCGGGTACCCATGGGTCGGGTTTACCTAAACCCAAACCCAACCCGGTGAATAGTGAACGGGTTTAAACCCAAACCCGGCCCAAAACCCGTCAACACTGATTTTACCCCTGTTGACCGAGTTAGGTCGGATGGGTACCCGTGGGTTCGGGTTTTGTTGACATCTCTATTGGTGAATAGTGTGATTGATGAAATTTCCATGAACTTAGTGCCAATTTTTTTTATCATTAAACTGCGAGACCAAACATCAACAGTCTGGATATTCCGAACCATAATCTTATTACACGAAACTAGATATAATTAACATTGACAAAAGAAAAATAAATTGATTTGAGATAACTAAATGAACATTGTGACAAATTTCTATTCGAAAGCTGTTACTCCTTTCAGGTTTCCCACGCACTTGAAGCTGCACACAAAAAAAAAAAAAAGAAACTATTAAGCCAGTATACCTATTGATCAAACGCCACAATTAACATACTGATTAGAGGAACACACATTGATACCATTATATCAATCTCTGCTCATTACCGATGATTAGAATATTACAGAAAACTCAATCCAATAACGTCAGCACGATAGCGAAAAAATCACCTCACACAAAAGGTGAGCACTAGTGAGAGAAGATTAAGTTTACCTAATTTTGGGATAGCAAAGTTCCGATTCTGCCCCAGGGCCCAAAAGAAGTATCCACCAAGGCCCTTAATCCGAGCATACTGGATCTTCAAATCAATGGATATCTGGTCATCGTACCCAACCCAAGAACCGTTCGCCACCGAGTAATACGACACCGACTCCCCATCATAAACGACGCTCGCCTTGTTCGCCGCATTCCACTCACGAACGGCGTCGTACCCTAAAACCCCTTCACCTGGGCCCGCAGCGACAGCCTTCGATCCAATCCCGTGATCCGACGGATCCTCCAGAGCCCAAGTCCGGCCGTACAAAGGCAGGCCCATCACCAACTGTTGAGCCGACACGCCAGCCTCCAGCCACGACCCGATCCCGTATTCGGTACTCAACTTACCCTTTGGATCGAACAGGGCCGCGTTCGGCCCAGTAAAATTCTCCCACGATCCATGGTAATCGTACGTCATCGGGTTGACCCAATCCATGTACTTGTTCATAGCCGGACCCGGATAAGTGCGGGCCGGCCCAGAGTTCTCCATTCTCGCCGAGTAATACACCGCGCCCGTTAAAAGCAGCCGTGGCTTCCCCGTGACGGCTGCTTCGAGAGCCAGAGTCTGCCGGCATTGCTTCAGCAGCTTAGCGAAATCGCGCATCTCTTGCTCGCTCGACGGGTACTCCCAGTCGATGTCCAGGCCGTGGAATCCGTACTTCCTGGCGACTCGAATCGCCGACCAGATGAACACGGCGCGGGATTTCGTTGTTTGGGACATTTCGGCGAACACCTGGGCGACAGACGGAGGGAACGCGCCGCCGATGGAGAGCAGAGTTTTCACTGGTGGGTTTTTCCCGGAGAGGGCCGAGGTGAATTGGGGAAGCAGTATTTTGTCGGATTGGGTGATGTTGAGCTTGTATGTGGTGGGTTCGGGTAAGAGGAAGGCGTAGTAGACATGAGTGAAGTGGGAGGTGTTAATGGCGGAGGGAGGGAAATCGGAGAAGGATTCCCAGTAAGCTGCTCTGATTATTCCTGGCGGTGAGGGGTTGGATTGTCGCGGCGCGGCGGATGGTGCTCTGGCGGCGGCCGGAGTGGGGGCGGGAGCTGGGCTTGAGGTTGGAGAAACAGAGTGGGAAGTGTTGATCATGAGGTTGAAGATAGTGAGAAGGAGAGGGATTGATGCGAGCTTGGGGGAGGCCATGATTTGGGAGGAGGGAAAGATTCAGTTGATGGTTTGTGAAAGGCCGGGCCTGCAGAAATATATAGTGGAGGGAAGTAGCATTGGTATAATCGATACTCTGTTTGTTTGTTAGTTGGTTTTGTTTCTTCTGATCTGGTTTGGATGTCATCTTTCTGTGGTTTAACTGTCACTAGAGATGTTCACTGCAAAGAAAGTACCGTTTAACAACGTTATGTAACCTTAATCTAGCCCTTGGAAACGGTGCGGTCTACAGAAACATACATATCAACTACAGATCATACTGAGAAGTTGGAGTATAGAGCTGGGATTAGATCAAATATAATACTATACATCAGATCATACTACATTCGTTTGACCTGATATAGTATGATCTGGACCAAACCAGACATACCACATAGAACCAATAACTGATCATAGAAAATCTACCCTTTACGCATGCATAATTTTGATACTCTAAATCCAAGTAAATAAAAAAAATATACAAAGTGAGAGCAACCCAACTTCCACCAAAACATCATAAATATTAATATAATTTCATATGGAGGCATGAGCGTCTCTACTCTGTTGCGAAGTGTGGTTTATGGACGAAGTAGGAGACGATATTCACAAAATTAGGGTTTAGACTTGGGTCTCGTAAGAAGTTTGGGAGAGTGGTTGAGTGGACTGTTAACTTAAATTGAAAAGTCGGCTGGATTCATGATTCGGTCCGGTAAATCGCAGTATGGACAAAACCAGACCAAGAGATCAGTACATCATATTATACAAATCATGGGTCATACCATTCTTAACGGTCTACAGTTTTTCAAACAATATGATCTATTTTCCTCCGTAGGATAAAATTTGTCACTTTCAATTTAGGTATTAACCATATTATTATATGATCAAAACAATATAGTTTGGGCCAACTATAGTGTATTTCTCTTCAACAAATAATGTTTGCATGGTACATTATAATGTATATTTGTATAGATAGTTCGACCAAAGTACAACATAATTGTGTTATTACATTAACGAGAAGGTGTAAACAAAAGTTATTGTACGAGACGTTGACATTCAAACATCCATTCATTGAGTTGCATCAGCATCAAACGTTGTTTAATATGTGTACTAAGGCTAATTCCGTTCTACTATGTATGGATATTACTCGTGTTCTTGTGCGGCCATCTGGCACAAGCAGGCTAGCTAAGCTAGGTATCAACGCAAAAAAGGCCGGCCTTGTTCTCATTTGCAAGACTGGATCAACCTTAAATTAAAAAAAAAAATGTGTTGCTTGTCGTATACCAATTACCAAACCGAGTCTTACATAAGTGTCGTAATATGCAAATCATTATCGGCTAAGTTAAGATTAAAATTGTTGCCCCCTGTTAACTACTACTTAGTACTTAAAACGGCTTAGTTAAGATTAAGATACTATTAAAACGGTTTATCGGCTTGAATTCTTAAATATACTTTTCTGGATGAGTACTGTTAACCTTACGCATAATGTTTCAACTTTTATTAAAAAAAAAAAAAAGAGATAGTTATAGCAACATCTGAGTTTTTTCCTAAATGATTATCACTTTCATTGACCTTTTCAAATCTATACATGTTGCTTTTCATTTGAGATCACAAAGTATAGACTAAAGTATGTAATTTCACGTTAAAAAAAATAGTATGTCATTAAGTAGGGGTGTTTGCTTTGATGATTAGGATTAAGTCAAGGGATTCTAATATGCTCGACGCTGTGAGAATTATTTTTGGATTAATTAAAAGTGACACGTAGTACAGCAAGTCAATAATCCAATATAGGGATGGGAATAAGTAGGTGGGGCCGGTTTTTTAATATACTATGGTCAAATCATGCTTTTAAAATCAAAATTATCCTCGTAATTAAAAGTAGATGAGAATGTAGCATGACATTAACATACCAAACCGCCAAAATTTCACATTTATGTGATTCGGGAAAAATCCACCGCACAACCCCTAGATAATCATCTACAAGGCAAGGATTTCGGTTTCTACCATGTTGAGGGTATACTTGGTTCTAAGTAATGCAGGCAAGTCTAACTTCTAGGTAAAAGCAAAATGATGGGTAGAACATAAGTGTAAAAGTTCAAACTTTTACTTATCCTATAAATTTGATAGAAATCTTTTAATTATAACTTCTATTCTGCAAAAATATAAACCAATAAGTTAAATAACTCATATTTAAAAGATCATTCTCACATTAATAAACCATATTAATAAAATTTTAACAAGCATTCAACACCTTTGTACTGCTTTCAGGAATAAAATAAAAAAATGAGGAAATGAGCGGCAAATGATGAAGCTAGAAGGGTTATTCTCACTCGTCATACTTTTCTAACCAGTGAAAGCGACAACAAGTGTGATGCTGGAGGAGAAGGATCTTTGATGGAGGCAGAGTCAGATGTCTGAGGTAGGAATTTCAAGGATGAGGTGGGCTGTCAGGTCAAATGATGCCGCCAAAGTTGCAACGTTAAGGGGAGTTAGCAGAAGAGCAAGCTGGAGGCATCGATGTGGCCGAAAATCGTCGGAGAGGACGTTTATGCGACATGTGCTAATTTTAAAGGTAGCAAGAATAGATAGTGGAGGAGAAACGCCGATGAATAAGGGGAAAATGATTCATAAAAAGAAAGACCGAAAGAATAACTCTACTTAATTTAAATTGTGTCATTTTCCAAACAAAATCAACAAATTAAAAACTCTGCCCAATTTGATCCTAAAATAATATAACAGAAATCTAAAAAATGATTTAAAAGCTAGCTTGAAGCTTCTGAGGCATTTATTGTGCTTGAGCACTTTTACTAGTGTTTTTATTGGGCTTTTGGTAAAAAAAACCTTATGGAATAAAAACTGCAATTTTGTTAGGTCTAATGCATAAAAGCCTAGACTTTTAGGCTTTAAAAATAATTTTTGACTACAATGGTTTTAAGATTTTATCCAAGTGGTAGGCTCTCAAGCGAGCGAGTGAGGGGCTTGCTATCGCAACCTCTTTTTCCTAGGGTATGGGGGCGAAAAAAGAATTACACACTCATTTTTGTTAGGCCATGGTGCTTCTTCTTCCTGAAGTAGCTCAATGATAGTGAAGTTGGTTGTTAACTAACTGGTGGTAGATTCAAATCCTACTTGAGGAGAATTTTTAGATATGACTTTTTTGATGTAGCGATCCTCAATTTTTTTTTCTTTAGTCTCTAAACTAACTGAAACACGAGAATTGTCAATCTGAAATTCAAGAGGACGAGTGAGTTTTACAATACTGAAAGGGTTGGAATACAAGAAAGTAGCGGAGTATCAAGCTCCTCCCTCGTTCCTTTAATAAGAGTGGGAGGGAGAACAGAGAGACTGTTTAGAATTATGTTGTATGAGAGAGTATGAGCTATTGCAAGTTGTTACGCGATATTATTATAAATTATTAAGAAATCTATCATGATAATGTGATCCATCAGTACAACTATGACTAGTTTTTTCCCTCAAAGTGATTCAAGTGAAATGGTATAATAATTTACCCAACAAAATGAAATTGAGCTAGATTTTCCGACACATATACTGTGTAGTATCCCTTTTGGTGGAAATGAAACGTAACATTTCAACCGTGAATAATTGAACCCATAAAGAAGAAGAAGAAGACAAAGAATAGAAATGTGAGGTGGATGCCAATATATCATTTTTAGAAGAGAGAATGAGAATCCCAAATGCTCTTTAATTCCTCCATAAAAGACCCAATGTGGATGTTCCCTTTTCAGGCCAGACCTCGGAAACACAAGCTCATCAGTTACTTCCGTCCTAACCCTACAGCCTATAGCCCATATCCATCTCTTTCAACCTCAGTACGTACTTAATTAATTACCCAAATAATGAACCAGAAAGCTTATGCTGATCACAATGTTCGCGAGCTGAACCTCATCGACTGCTTGAACCACCGTAGAGAGGAAGAGGAGGAGGAGCACAAGGTAATAGAGTTCCATTGCAACTTCTGCCACAGGAAGTTCTTCAACTCTCAAGCCCTCGGCGGCCACCAAAACGCTCACAAAAGAGAGCGGACGCTCGCCAAAAGAGGCATCCTCATGATGCGAAGCAGCAACACTAGTAGTAGCAGTGCTTTTGGCTACAGCCCTTATAATTGGCAATTCCATTACGGCGCGGCGCCGTTTGGTATGCAACCCCACTCTCACTCTCTTCTCCACCAGGGGTCTTCTGCTTCTTCTTCTTCTTCGGCTGTTCGGCCAGCTGGAAAACTGATGCCGATGCCGATGATGATGAGGATGAGTAGATCTGCCGCCGCGCCACTTCTTCCACACCGACACCGGCCGCCAACGCTCGGAGTCCGCGGCGAGATGAGTGGTGGTCGGTTGGATGAGGGCCAAAATGATGGCTTGCATAAGCTTGACCTATCACTCAAGCTCTAAGGCGCGCTATGACTAGTTTGTTATCTGAATTCGCAGCGGTTCCATATAACGTATAGTAGAGCACTATACCTCATTTGAATAGAAAATTATATATCGAGTGGTACTTGGACGCCAAAAGAAGCAAAACGAACGAGGTCAGAAGTTAGAAGGTCTCTCATTTGCTATACTAGATCTGGGCCCAGAGAAAAGCTGGATTGTGGCTCGGAGAGACTTATCCCTAAATCCGCCATTGATCCTGATCTCTTATCTTCTTCTTTTTTACGTCATTCCTTCTTCTAAAAAAATAGGGATGACAGCATATCAGTTCGACGAATAATGTAAACATGTTACTTTACTCTTGTTGGGGATGTGACTCGGATCTCAACACGCCGAAGAAATACCCAAGGATGCTCACGTCAAAGTCAACGCGCGAGTCACACCGGAACCAAGCGCGAGCGTAAAGACCAGCCCCAGAGACCGCACACGGACGCCAAACGACGGCGCATTGGACAAGCGTGGGCCCTCGCCGAGAAGTTGTAGAAGCGGCGCCGTGTCACCCAAAGGGTAGTCACCATCATAGTCCTAGGTATAGTCATGGCTAAGGGTCTTGTCACCCATAGGGATATGGTCTATGTCCCTGACATATCAGTGTTCATGTCACCATACCGTAGTAGTCACGTCATCGTACCATCATGTAACTCACCCACCACCATGTAGCCTATAAATACGGCATTTACTCCGGTGGGTGAGGTGATCGGATTTTTGGAGAATTACACTCTATCTCTAGAAAGAACGAACTTCTCTCACTAAAACAATCTCTCGACCCTGTTCTTTCTTCCATTTTGTCTCAAAGCCCCTACTTAACCAAGCCATTCGTTCTTCTCGACCCATTCTCGTGAACTTCACTCCTACACTCAGTTAGGTTCAAACAATTGGCGCCCACCGTGGGGCCGAGAAGAAAAATGGCAGAACAAGACTCCAACATACCCGGCGAGGTAACCCCCATCAAGGCGATGACGGCCCCTAGGGTGTTCGCGGAAGCCAGCAACCGCGATGCGGTACTCATTGAGGAAGAGGAGCCCGAACTTACGGCCAAGGAGATGAGGCAGTTGGTGACAAAGCAAAACGGCGTCATCGCCGACATGCAAAAACAGATGAGTCAAGTTATCGCGCTCATGATGAGCAGAGAAGCAGCGGCAGCACCAAATGCGGCGCCAGCCGTGTTGCAGCTAACGCAAGGAGGGGCATCAGGCGATGCCCCGCTACCACATCAGACAGCGGTCGAATTGCCCGCACCTGAAGCCCAGCGACGCGAACCGCCCGGAAGAGCGGACCTCAGCTTTTTGGAGCAACACCTGTCCCCACAGTTCCGCCCCAACCCGCCTAGAAAAGCCCTTCATCAGCCGTTGTGCGCGGAGATTATGGCGGAACACTTGAGTGGGACGCCACCCACCCTCCCGACTTACAACGGAACGACCGATCCAGAGGATCACGTCAGCACCTTCTGTCTGCGGATGCAGCTCCAGACCAACTCCAACGCGGCGCTGTGCCGGACCTTCCCGTCAACATTTTCGGGGATATGCCTCGATTGGTATAACCGCCTCCCCAACAGAATCATCCGCTCGTTCGAAGAGTTCATACTCTTGTTCACAACGAAGTTCGCGTCACAAAAAAGAAGGCCCCTCCACCTTAAGGCGCTGATAGACATCCGCCAAAAGGACGGAGAAAGCTTGCGGGCGTTCTACGCCAGGTGGTCCAGGGTGGCAATGGCCATAAGAGATCTCACCCCAGAAACCGCCACCCATCACCTCATGGACGCCACCACTAGCATGGAGCTCAAAAGAGCGCTAGCAAAGAGGCCGATCACGCTATCTACGGAGCTAGAGGTCAAGATCGAGAAAACCATTACTTTGGAAGAGACGCTGGGCGCGGGTTCCGTCAGGCGCTTTGAACCCGCCAAAATGCCCAAAGAAGATCAAGCTCGTAAGCAGCTCCCTGTGCCGCGAGACCAACTGTTGCAAGCACACAGCGGTGCCAGACGCCCTCCACCTCCGCCGGAACAAGTCCATCGGGGCGGTCGCCAGATAGGCGCCCACCAAACTACACACCCCTCAACGACACTGTGAAGAACGTATACCACGTTCTGCGCGAGAAAGGTTACAAAATCAACTGGCCCGCGCCTATGAAGACCCTCCCGCACATGCGGGACTCCAAGAAGCGCTGTGAATTCCACAGAGACACGGGTCAGTGGACCGAAAACTGCAGAGAATTGCGCTATGAGATAGAAGGCCTCATACAAAGGGGACTCCTGAATGAGTTCATTCGCGGAGCAAAAGAACCAGTAGAGCGTTCTGTTGAACCCCCACAACGCCACAGGACTTAGTAAAAATAAAAAGAAGAGAAGAGGGAGGACGAGAAAAATACTTCGCAGCAACTAAGACAATCTTACCGCGAAGTGCACTTGTGCTAGATCCTGGGGCGGATCAGACTTCTCCAGGTGCGACGGGACACTCAGAAGAGGTCCCAATGCCCGGATGGCATTGTTCGCGGGCGCAACGTTACACGCCGCGCCCGTGTGGATCCGCACATCGCGGAAGTAGTCAATGGCGCCACCGGCCATCTGGGGCAGTTTTTGCTGAATTGTAGCCCCAGATGAGCCACCAGCCGCGCTACTCTTCGGCCGAACGCTTCTGTCCACTAGGGCCGTGGGCTCCACAAGCACAAGCGGTTGCTGTCGCGTTGTTCGCGCAGGTTGCTCCGCAACGCGAGCAGCCTTTGCAGGCTTCTCTGCAACCACAGGCTGCTCAACCTCTTTCCTCTTCGCGCTCTTGGGCCGCGCGCCCTCCTTTCCCTTCTTCTTCCCAGCGCGAGGTGCCTTCACAATGTCATAAACTGACATCATACTCGCCAAGCTAGAAAAATCAACACTTGCGCCAATAAGCCGTAAGAGGGCGGTTAATATGATAGAATGCAAAATGAAAGAAGCACAACTAACCATCGGCAAAAAGTTCTTCCAAACAAGCCTCGCGAACTCCGCCATCGTATAAGTTGAACTTCTGATGCATGCACGCTTCGTATTCATCATCGAGCCCGACGTAATGACCCAGGTCCGATTCATACTCATGCGTGCCGCCCTTCTTCCACTCGGTCGGCTCCCCCATAAATTCACTCGCCCACTCCCCTAGGGCCGGTTTAACATAAAAGAAACGCTCAAACCAAGTCTTTTTCAACTTGGGAGACCCGTACACGAAACCCTCAGGTCTCTTGTCACGCCGCTTGATAGAAAGGCAGTCGCTCCTCCTCGTGGGATCCTTGATCTTATAAAACTTCCGAAATAAGCCGTAAGTTGGCTCAATCTTGAGCCTCTTGCACGCGAGTCGGAGGCAGCTCGCGTGCATTATCACTGAAGGGGAAAGACGCCCAACTGAACAGTTGAGGCGCCTGTACAAAGCGCATAGCAAAGGGTCGATGGGGAACTTAAATCCCATCACCCAGTACTCTGTGTACACCCCAAACCAGCCCGCGGGACAGTTCCCAACCATACTTCTCGCGGACGGAACCGCGTACTCCCAATGGGGGGCAAACCTAATCCACGCACTATGTCCATCACGTCCTGGTACCCGTAAATGGATGCGTGATCGGGCCCCCTAAGCAGGTTGTCGCTGGGCGCGGGCTGATCGCCCCACATCTCCGCCCAGTCAATAACGTTGTAAGCCGCGCCCACACCTCGGAAGCCTAATCGGCTCATCACTTCTGTTACACGCGCGGTGCAGCGCGGCTCCGACTGAGTATCAGACCTTCGCGCCTCTCCGAATCAGCCACCCCAGATGCACCGCCGCGAGGCCGCCGGATAATCAAGACCCCGCGCGCACCGACACCCGCCTGGCCACTCCCGGACGCAATCATCCCCTCATCGGGGCCCCATCCTGCATCGACGTCGAGCAACGGCGCCACCGCCGAGATTACATCGCCACCGTCGGCTCCGCCGTCATCCCCGTGCCCAGAATCGTCCAGATCCAGCGAAGGATCGGTAGAAACACGTGAAAAAGAAGAGGGATTACCTTCTTCGCCCTGCACGACCTCGGTCTCGTTGATGTTGGTGCTATCCATGGTAATACTTCGAATCAGCAACAGCAAGGTGAGAATCGAGGTTGTAGAAGAAGGAGAGGAATCCCAGAGACAGCAAGAAAGCACAAAGAAACAAACGAAAATTTTCTTTCACAATAAGCAAAGTGGGTTCCGACTTCTGGGCAGAGAGGAGGTATTTATACTCGACAACGGAAAGCTGAAGGGTTAAAGTTGCATCGAGAATCGCAACCGTCAGAGCATTTTCAAATTTCAAAACGGCCGCCAAAACTAACCAACCGTACACAGACACGTGGCAACCTACCCAACATAGGCACTAGCCGCTGACGTCATAGGTTACGCACAGCGCCTGGGGGCAGGATACGCCCACGAAGGAGAAAAAACACGCTCGAAGCCAATCCCAACTAAGAAAGCGTCACGCACAACCAACCCAGGAGATCTCGGCCACTCGCGAAATATCACCAATGGGAGGCAATGCGAAAGCGGCGCGCACAACCAATCCCGGAGATCTCGAACGGACGAGAATCGTGCAAAGGATGCACCAGCTGTGCGCACCACCGAAGATCACGCGAAGACCAAAAACAGACACTAACCTGCCCAGATCGCGCCAATAATAATCAACAGGCACTCGCGTAATGTCACTAATGGGGGGCAATGTAAAAATGGCGTGCACAACCAACCCCGGAGAGCCCGAACGGACGAGAATCGTGCAAAGGATGCACCAGCTGTGCGCGCCACCGAAGATCACGCGAAGACCAAAACAGGCACTAACTTACCCAGATCGCGGCAATCATAATCAACAGGCAGAATCGCGCAGATCCGAGTCGCTCGCATGAAGATCAAACAGGCGGCATTCGCGGAATACCCCCTGATGGGGGGCAATTGTTGGGGATGTGACTCGGATCTCAACACGCCGAAGAAATACCCAAGGATGCTCACGTCAAAGTCAACGCACGAGTCACGCCAGAACCAAGCGCGAGCGTAAAGACCAGCCCCAAAGCCCGCGCACGGACGCCAAACGACGGCACTTTGGACAAGCGTGGGCCCTCGCCGAGAAGTTGTAGAAGCGGCGCCGCGTCACCCAAAGGGTAGTCACCATCATAGTCCTAGGTATAGTCATGGCAAAGGGTCTTGTCACCCATAGGGATATGGTCTATGTCCCTGACATGTCAGTGGTCATGTCACCATACCGTAGTAGTCACGTCATCGTACCATCATGTAACTCACCCACCACCATGTATATAAATACGGCATTTACTCCGGTGGGTGAGGTGATCGGATTTTTGGAGAATTACACTCTATCTCTAGAAAGAACGAACTTCTCTCACTAAAACAATCTCTCGACCCTGTTCTTTCTTCCATTTTGTCTCAAAGCCCCTACTTAACCAAGCCATTCGTTCTTCTCGACCCATTCTCGTGAACTTCACTTCTACACTCAATTAGGTTCAAACAACTCTAATTATTAATTACTTCCGGGTTTGATTCCTCTTCATACGCAAAGAAGATTCAGACAATAAATCAAAGTTATACCCAATGCCTATTTGAGTTTATGTTATCCATGGGATATCACAACGTATAATAATTGTTTTCTTTATTACTTGATCTAATATGTTACTATTTGCGATTATGTTCACATTACGCAAATAAAGAATTTACAAATATAGGTCAACAATCTTAAGAGAACTAATAGTAATAATAATAAACACAAGTTCATTTTGGAATATTATATATTTATTACAAATGTAGTGTATTTTGAGAGAAATGATGACAATTTATAGTCATGCACTTATAATCGAACGAGTTCAAATTGAATAGTAGGAAAATCGTATATGCACATCACCCACAATATTAAGCTTCGAAATTATCCATACCGCCCAATAATTATTATTCAACTTCTAGTTATACATATTTAATTGGAGTGTGGGAAATACCTCTTAAATTTGCTTCAAGAGGTGGCGCTGAGATGGAAAGGTTAATATCAGGAAAACTTTAGGGAGAAAGCAGATTGAAGGTGTGATTAATCACTCTCCTTAGAGTGTTATTTGCTGTCACTACAAAATTGTTGGTAGGAATTAGGTAAATCACTCCCAGGATTCCCTTCAATCAAAGTCCGAAAGTAGCAATCTTTCCGGACTTCTGTGTTTGTGTTATTGAGAAGGAAAACGGGAAGAAGATGAGAAGTTTAACGTTGGAACTTTACTTCTGGACAAACATCTCTTTTTATCGTGAGGAAACTTCAGTTCCCTTCTCAAGGGTTATGTCCTTTCAAAAAACTCAAAATTAATTAATTATACAAAATTCATTAATAAAAATTCATTCCAGAAATTAATTAAATAGCCAAAAGTTTAATCGCGTAGTGAAATTTCATATGTCAAATCAAATAGCACACATTTTTTCAAAAAACCCACTATCCACTTTATCCAACAAATAAAATAAAGTGGGAAGCAAATGTAAAAACTACTTGCACTTTCATTTTCTGACCAATGTGGTATTTCTTTTTTAACTCTTTTAACTACTCTAACAATTAAATATATTGAATTGGCTTGAAAAACAATGTTCTCTATCTCTCATAGGTACTAGTAAGTAACGTGGTTGCCTTATCCTTCGAGTCTGCGACCAGATTTAGCGTGCATTCTCTTTATGAACGCCTAGTAAAAGATAAGAGTTGCAGTCTCTTGAGGAGGACTTCCCTTATAAGTTATAATAAGGTGTTGTGGGCAGTAACAGATCCCTTCCAAGACTATTTTTATGAACATTTTTTATGAGTTTTGCTTTTCAAGATGAATTTTGTGGGAGTTATTTTTCTATATATAAAACTAGATGACTTGTCACACTTTGCTACGACGATTTGACTCGTTTATTTTAGTATTTGGTTTTGGATGGTCGTTGATTTGGTTTTATGCAGTTAAGATGTGAGAATTGTGTTTTCAGTGGTAAATTAGTTTGAAAAATAGAAAAATAAGTGGCTTGTCAAGAATGAAGTATAATAAATAGGAAACACTTCATAAAGTATGGTTGGTGGAGTTGTGGAACCAGATGATCGTATTGATGCAATTTCGTGAAAATATTGGTTAGTGGTTATAGGATTTATGCATAAAAAAAAGGTGCGTGTGCATATTATTTGATATGCTGGAAAATAAAATTTGGTGGGTGAATATTATGTCAAAATTTCTACCAAGAAACATCACTCTATATTTGAGACAATATAAACAAATAAGTGTTTACCTATTTGGATCACACATATCTCGATACAAATCCAATATTTATTTTGCCCCCTTCTACCTCAACCTAGTTATTTCTCAAATCTTTTTGCTACCTCTAATTTAGCCATAGGTATATTATTTCCAATTAATTATAATCTTTGTATTTTATTGATATTTAAAAAATCATCACAACACATGATGTTGGTTTTATATATATCAAAATATAAAAAGAATGATAATCAATGGGTCTACTTGGGTTGACCACCATATATCTCTTCTTAGTCAATATCATATTGTAAAGTTAATATTACTAACAAAACTACTATCAAAAAATTAATTTTAGACTAATAATACTAACAAAACATCATAACGGGCCACAAAATACATGCACATAGACCATCTCCACCCGCGACAAGGCGCGACATCACCGTCTAGTTTTATATAAAATCAACATAAAGAATACTAACTTTGACAGTTGAAATCAGAACGCAATTAAAAATAGATTTAGTCTAATTCAGTCAAATTCATATCAATTCGATATTCATCACTACCCGCTAAAGAGTGCGAGCGAATTATCTAATTGTTCTTATTTTTCTACGTAATTCGCATCTTCAATTTTGTCAAACTCAAGTTGCTGTCTTTGCAAGTGGTCACTCCATTAATTAGTATAATTCTTTTTATAACGGTGATCGATGATATGCAATTGGTAAAATACCATCATCGTATCGTAGACTACCTTAATATATGAGATAAATTCTACCATCAGTAGGTTTACAGGACTTGGATTAAATCATTCGACCAAGCAATCAAAAGTATCAGACCAAAGGGACAAGAATGAACAAATAGACGAACCATGTTACACAAAATGACATTCTTGGTAGTGTGATCAATTGATTGTTGTTCCATTCATATACCCATCATAGTGTCCCGCCAGCGCCAGTATGTATGAACTAACGTCCAAAACTGGGGAAAAAACAAAGGGAAGATCTGAATTCAGATCTCATTTTTTTTTAACATACACAGGTATTGCATAATTGACCTGCTTCTCCACTGCCAAAAGAACCTGCGACCACTCTTTTCCAGTTGAAGCCGAGGTCAGAAGCTTCATTATTATGGCATCCCAGATTCCCACTACGAAACCACCTCTACAGTTCTATATTTGGCAACTATGGTCTAGGAGTCCAAATTCAATTAGGGTGCACCTTGAAGGTAAATTGTAGGATGTAAGTGGTGGTGAAATTTATTATTTCCATGAAAAAGTAGGAAGTGTAAATTAAATAAATTATATTATTATATAATGTATTTATCTAAAAAAATAAGTATATAATAATTATAAATATAATAATTTACTTAAAATAATTATTAAATAGAAATGCTCAAATAGTAATTAATTATAACCATTGTAATAATCATTGGTCGAGCAACCTCGAAACTTGAAGCCCAATTCGTAACTGGTCATCCTATAGGGTTTTCGTGCACAGTTTAGCTTTAAATTTGATCTGGACAAACTTAGTCAAACACGTTCGAATATGTAAGTTTAACCATTTAGTCAAGTAAACAGAGTCAACCAAATCGTTCCTCACTCTACCTTTTCCACAAACACTTCTTCTCTCTAATTTTCAATGCAAATTTTAGTCAACCAAGAAATTTCGACTTGACTATACAAACATTTACAAACTTGCCCCAGGAGTCAAACCCGAACAACGTCTACATTAATGATAATTATAATTTTTTTTATAATATTACTGATTATATAATTGTAAAACATTTAAAAATAAAAATCCATAATTTCTCTCATTCCCATTTTCCTCCTTCCTTCCCTTGAACCCCCGGTAAGCCAGAATAGTAAATTTGCGCCAATTTGTGCATCTCTTACGGTTACAAATTAACCAAAAAATTACTAAGTTCTTGAAAACTATATTTCCCCTCTAATTTGCAGCCCCTTCCCTTCCCCTCTAACCAAACAGAGTGCTAGTCATTCACCATTAACACCATTCAGAGTTTGAGAATATTTCAGCTATAGTCTAGGATGAAACTGAGATAAGGTAAGCATGGTTGTAATAATTCACAGAGATTAGGCAAAGTAATGAAGCAGTTAGGATCTGATTATGTTTAATAATTAATGCAGGCTTTACAAGGAAACACCCTTAATTAGCGACCACCTGCCCTTTCCTTTCAAGACAAAACTAGGTGACAAACACACTATGGATTTGATGGAGGGAGGACAGTGAACACACTCTGATTTGAGAAAACGACTTATGATAACGCAAGTGGTAATGGGGAGAATTATAAAGAGCACCACAAAAGAAAAAAGTCTTGACCTTTGGCTTTGAGGGAACATCACTAATTAGTGTGTATTAACAGTTGACTGTTCCTACTTGCCCAACAAATTAAAGTCGGCAGTACTACTCTCCAATTGAAGTCCTAGCTAATTACCCAACCCACTCCCACGAGTGTAACTTAAAATTTGGTTTTGGAACAAGGGGAGGAAAATGAAGAGAAGAGGGAAAATTACAAAGGAAAGGAAAATTAATTAAGAAAGAGGAGAACGAGGGAGGGAGGAAAATGTTATTTTATGAGGAAAAAAGCGGGATAAAAATAGTATATTATGAAGTGTAATAGATGTGTTATTATATTGATTATGTAAAAGTAAAGGGTATGCCTACTATGACATGTATGTCACCGTGACATGGACTTTTCGGTCGACCTAATCCTGAAGGCGGTCGACCGAATTGACTAATTTGGACAGCACGAGAAAGCATTGCGGTCGACCTCAAAGACCACCCGGTCGACCGTTCTTAGTTTAAGTTGTTATTTTTGGTTGACCAGAATAAACCTCGGTCGGCCATTTCATTGGCGTCAGAAACAACATGGTCGACCGTAAAGGTATATAGGTCGACCACTTGATGGCAGTCATTAACAATATGGTCGACCAGATAAAGAAAGAGGTCGACCAGATAGACGATAAGTGTTATATCAATTTATCCAATCATTTGACGTAAAATGAAGATCAAGTGTTGGTGTCGAGGTCGACCTAATCCGGTACGAGGTCGACCGAATACAAGAAAGTCAACCTATGCCCCGTGTCTTTTTGCTTATGTATGTCGATTTGTGTGGTTCTTTTGCTCGTCTAAATTACGCTTTAAACCATCATAACTAGTCATAAATAATGATAACAAGGACTCATCAATTATGCTATGAATTGAGGTCGATCGCCTTTAGGATTAGGTCGACCGCAATGCTTTCTCATGCTGCCCAAATTAGTCAATTCGGTCGACCGCCTTTAGGATTAGGTCGACCGAAAAGTCCATGTCATGGTGACAACTCCTAGCAAGCTAATTCACTCACCATTTGACAACTCCTAGCAAGCTAATTTTGTTATTAATTATGTTTTTATAGAAAGTATTTTCACAAAAAAAATTCATTTTATTAACTAAAAAACTGACAAACCAATTTCCTAAAATAATAGGCACTTTTTAATGAGTCTAAAATGTAAAAACTTATGTTTCTTTTTTTTTATTGCTTCGAAGTGCATTTTCCACTACACTGTTAGCATAGAGTATTTTGCGTTTTAATAGTAGTTCAAACATAATTTAACCATCTCATAGCAGTTACCTTCTATACCAACTCGAACTCCAATAAAAAAAATCGATTCAAGATTCGGTTTCTTATCATATATACATGCATTATGTATATATACATATATAAATTGTGAACAACCGAATGCAAGTGTAAAAATTATCAACTAAACTATAGTATTCATTCAATTTCTTAGCTCCGGCTTCCGGGGGCGGGAAGGGGGAAAAGAGGAAAAGTGTAGTTGTCTTTTCCCTCCAATTTGAGTGGTGGGTTCCCCGTAACAATTCCTCACTTTTTCCCTCAAGGTTGTCAAACCGGTTTAAGTCATTAAGCCGGTTAAGCAAGGGGTTTGAGGTTTAATGGTCTGATCGGGGTCCGACTCGTTTGAGCCGTTTTAGACGTTTTCTAAATATATATACAAATAAAGTAGTAATTAAAAATTTAATGAGTGAAATAAAATTTATCTTACATATATATATATCTATTAAAAACTTATTTTCAACAAAATAAATCTACCTAACCTCCATGATCCACCTACCATTTCCCTTCCTTCGTTCCTTTTCCTCTCTTCCGCCTCTCTTCTTCTCCCTGTTTAGGGGTCAGACCGGGGGGTTTTCTGGAGGCCGTTTTGAAGCCCGACTCGGGTCGAACCAGGTCGAACCGGGGGGTTCGATAGGGGTTTAACAACCTTGTTTTCCCCCCTTAATTTCCCTGGTCACTGTTTTTTTTTATATATAAATGAGTAGTACTATTTATTAAAGTGACACTAATGGGTGTCAAGTAACGAGAAGGAAAGGAAAGAGGTACAGAGGAAGGAGAATTTCTGTTCTTTGGAAAGAGGAACAAAGCTAGGAGAATTCTGCAGAAGAACAGAATGATGAAATGTGAAAGGAAAGGAAAGGAAATTGTGGTCCCATCTCCTGGCCGAACAACCATAACTTGCCAAAATTCACCAATTAACTTCAGTATGTGCTTCCACAGTGAGCTCCCAAAGGTATGGTGGCTTGCTTGTAGGTTCCAATATTGTGTTGGGTATTGAAAGAGGAGGGGAAAATTGTTTGGAGTATTGTGTTTTAGCTGGGGACAGCAATGGTTTCAGATTGAGGATTGATAGCGATTATCCATTACTTTATACTAATTAGTTCGGACAGTATCCATATTCATATACATATAAAATTCAGGTACAAAATTCAAAATTATAACGAAGCATCAAGTTTCAGTTTTATAGTTTAGTAATCTTCAATCAGATTGGGAGAGGGAACATGGAGATCATTCAGAATTTCATTGTAGGAGAAAGTATGAGCTATAACAAGTTGTCAGACGATTTTATGAATTATGAAGAAATCTGACGTGGCGTGAGATATTAGTGACATCATTACTACTACGAATGATGACGTGAATACCATCATAATATCATCTGGAGTAGAGAATCTGGAGGGGAAATTTTTTATCTATTTATAAATCCCTAATGCTCTTTAATTCCTCCATAAAAGACCCAATGTGGATGTTCCCTTTTCAGGCCAGACCTCGGAAACACAAGCTCATCAGTTACTTCCGTCCTAACCCTACAGCCTATAGCCCATATCCATCTCTTTCAACCTCAGTACGTACTTAATTAATTACCCAAATAATGAACCAGAAAGCTTATGCTGATCACAATGTTCGCGAGCTGAACCTCATCGACTGCTTGAACCACCGTAGAGAGGAAGAGGAGGAGGAGGAGGAGCACAAGGTAATAGAGTTCCATTGCAACTTCTGCCACAGGAAGTTCTTCAACTCTCAAGCCCTCGGCGGCCACCAAAACGCTCACAAAAGAGAGCGGACGCTCGCCAAAAGAGGCATCCTCATGATGCGAAGCAGCAACACTAGTAGTAGCACTGCTTTTGGCTACAGCCCTTATTGGCAATTCCATTACGGCGCGGGGGTATGCAACCCCACTCCCACTCTCACTCTCACTCACTTCTCCGCCAGGAGGTCTCTTCGTCTTCGGCTGCTCGGCCGATGATGATGATGAGTAGATCTCCCGCCGCACAACTTCCTCCACACCCACCGACGCACGGAAACCGAGGCGAGATGATGAGTGGTCGGTTGGGTTGGGCGGCGCATAAGGGGGAAAATGGTGGCTTGCATAAGCTTGACCTAGCCCTCAAGCTCTAGGCTACAACTACTTCCTTATTATCCTTTTATTACCCCAGCCCCCTCTCCATATCCACAGATAGGGATTGCTTTGGGGACGGATGAAGCACATCCGTTATCGTTGGTTTGAATTTTATCAATATTCATACGCATATATAAAATTTGTAATCATATCCGAAGAATCCATTCGGGTTTAGATTATCCATGAATATTAATTTTTTCTTTGATATTTCACGTAATATGTCACTATTTGTGAGGCTACATCCCTTTCAACTCTTTTATCTAATCTATAAAAAAAAATTCTTTTATCTAAAGTTACAATGTGTGTATTCGTATCCTGAAAAACATAAGGCGGCGATATCACGGGCTACTACCCCCCTCCCTCCCTCAATAGTCATGCTCAATGGTGAGAATCTTGATGCTCGATGGTAAGATGTTGTTGCACTATGTTATTTTCATCACGTCCTCACTCTAAGTACTGACTTCGTCACTGTAAAACTCTCGTAATTTAAGGATCAACCAACTAGAGAAAGGACTTAGCTTGGAGGTTGTCTTTGTTGGTTGTAGAATAATCCTACGCCAGTCTTAGCTTATTCACGTCAATGCAATTACAAAGGTCGTTTCATTTTCATATATGGTGTCTATTACAACTACATCCATGCGATTTACTTGCAGTTGCAATTGGCAGGCCGACTGACTTTTACAATAAATAAATAAAAATAAATTAATGGAAGGGGAAAACAAATAAATTATTATTCTTTTTTCCTCCATGGCTTGCATATTTAATGTTTCCAAATGCAAGCTTGTATCTTTCCAAGCGGCCACTCCATCGGTGTAGTATCAGTATCCTAATACCAAATAACAAAATTTCGAATACCAAATTTTGCCCTAACTTCAATCCCAATTCCAATCCCAAAATAAATTTGGTATCTCAATCACGCCCTAATTTTTTAAGTACTAGTACCAAATACTAAATTAATTCCCTTCAAAATTCCAAATTATATATACCAATACAAAACCTTCTCATCTACGAGGAGCTCCACAAATCATTCTCAAAATATTTATAAAAACAAACCTAAGCCTAGTGGACCTTCTGATGGTGGGTGGCGTTTATCCGAGTCTTTAGAGGCCATCTACAATTGGGACTGGAAGTTTGGTACCGGTATTTGAGATATATTGAATATCGTACTGGATTTTTCGATATTTGTTATTACCGAATGCACGTATTATCTTATGGGGGATTGTGATTCAATTTCAAGTGTTATTTGGTATTAGAGATTACAGGATTAAGATCGGTATATACTGAAATACCGATCAAAATTGAAATATAAGCTAGGGTATGTTTTATCCCACCCAACTAGACTTTTTCACTCACTACTACCACACCCTCGGTCGCTAAGATGGTCACTTAATTATGCATAGCTCATTCACTCACCATTTGACAACTCCTAGCAAGCTAATTTTGTTACTTGCAATATATTTATGGTAGCTTATTTGACCCTTTTTTAGTTTGTTAATTCCTTCTTACACACAACATTATTTTTTGTTATTTTGTTATTATACTTGTGATTTTTTCCTTGTTTGTTTTGTAGTAGAGCATCCGACCTAGGAGCTTATGAAGCCTCGAAGCAGTAGCGTATCTAGGGGATGGCCTCAAAGATGCACGAACCATCCCTCCTCTAAGCCTATAGCTAGTAGAGTAAACGAGACCTATTTGCTTCCAGTCCTCTCCGCCTCTTTTACCCCGTGCTGCTCGGTATTTAATTTTCTATTCATATACAACCTAGTATTTTACTATTTCCGTTGCCTCGAAGCAAAGAATAATCAGAGGAACCTGCCCCCACTCCTAATTGTTCTCAACACCCGAAACCTAGCTAGTCGGAACACACAAATGAAAACTTGGTAGTCAGTCTAGTGGCTTGATTCATAAACCCATCATACTGTCCCGCGAGTAAAAGACAAAACTGAAATTGGCTCTTTCTCCATACAGTACATGGGACAGAATCAAAGAAAAGATTTGGTAACAGAGGGAAACAGGTCAAATGCTTCATTATTTTGGCATCCCGGATCCCACCACCTCTTTGTCAGTTGTCACTCACCATCACCAATCAAGAAAGCAGAGCACTTCAGCTAATCTGGGACGAAAGTAAGGGTGATTAATGTTATAATCAAGCAGTTAGGATCTGATTACGTCGAATAATGCAAAGGCATTACTGCAAAAGACCCTTGACTAGCGACCCCAATGCCCTTTCAATTGATCAAGAAGACGAGAGTGCAAATACTCGATTACAGAAGAAAAAAAGTATTGACCTTTGAGGGAACATCACTAATATTTTTTTTCATAGTACAAAAGTCGGCAGTCCCCTCCCCACCCATCTCACAAAGTTGAGGGAACAATGGAGCTCCTAGCTTCCCAACCCATGAGTGTAGTTTTTTTACTGTTCCTGATTTGCCAACACACAGAACAAGGAACCAGCCATTGTCTTCCACAACTACTGTCCATGATCTCTTCTTTTGCTATCACATAAACCACATTGCAGCACCCAACTTGCAGAAGCATAAAAAATGGAAGAGCTGTTTAGGCCTGGAATGTTCCAGGCGGTTGAGTGCAGGGCAAGCAAGACGTCTGTTCCAGATGAAGGGCGTACTCCAATTCCTGCAAAACAAGGGTCCGTGGGCGGTTTCCCGGACACTCTCCGATGCCTAAGTTAGAGAGAGAAGTAAGAAATGTTGTTTAGGTTTAGATAGAGAGAGAGTAGTTGAGTTACCATTAATGCTGATACTAGTGTATTTATAGTCAGCCATCCTAGGTATGAGGCATTTAATGCCTTGTCAGGCGGCCTAAGCATACTCGACTTTACCTGGACCGCCTACGGCGGGCATTAAATGCCCAGTCCTGCTGTGTACGAGGTAAGGATCCTAGGGAGATCCACCTTCCTGACACCAACGGTCTCCTGTGTCAGGCAGCCTACTTCCCGTCACTTCATAGGGTGGCCGCCTGTGGTGTCTCTTTTCCCCATGTCTCCTCGGGCTTCGCTCTTTGACTCGGTCCCTTCCTTTGGGCTTAGCCTCTGTCTCCTCGTGGGCCTACACGGGCCTCTTAGGCCCAACACAGCTTAACTATGAGCCCAACAATTGCCTTTTAGTCGTGAAAAGCTGCGGGTTTTGGCGGCTACATGTTTGCTCTGTGATAGTTAAGCGGTTCTAGGTTCAACAAACACCTGCCCTTTGCCCTTGGCCGCCAAGAGATGGGGGTTTTCAGTTATGCGTTCAGCTGTTCTCAATACTCGGCGTCCTTGATACTTGCCTCTAACTTTGACGAACGTTCTCGCTGTGTTCTTCCCTCAGGGCGTGTGCGAAGTGTATGTTTTCAAGTCTCTAAGCGGTTTTTCATGAGCTCTGTGCGAGCGCTGTCCACCCCCTGCAAATCGTGCCCGAAGTTCCACGGTTTGACATTTTCTAAGCGGCTATCTCGAGTGCGCTTGCGGATTGCGTCCCTTAGTTACTCCAGGATTGTGCGGTTCAGACGGCGGTCGGTTCGGATTCCGCCACTGCATGCTGCGCCACGTGTCCGTTCTCGGAACCCGAGCCTCTGACAGCGGGCAGCCTCACGTCCAATCACCTGCCCGCTTTTTTGAAATCCTTAGACTAGGGTTTGCCCTCGGTCACTTAACCGTCGTTTCGCCTGCCCCCCTTCTTTTCCTATTTATACTCGTTTTCCCCCTCAGATCATACATATCCTGATTCCGTTTCTTCACATCAGCCAAAATTGCTCGTTGCTCTCGATTCTCTCTTTCTTCTTATTTGCGAGAGAATTCTTCTTTGTCGTCGGCGCGAACGGATTTCCTCAAGAAACTCCGACGTAAACAGAAGCGAGCCAAAAGAAAGTCCAAGTTCAAAATGGCAATCGAGTCGCAGAGCACCACTCAATCTGACAGCCAAAATCAAAACCTATCAAGTGACGTTGCCGCCGTCACAACTTCTAGCGGCGGCGCTGGTACAACCGCCTCCGGTGATGTTCCCAACACCTCGGGCAGTGCTCCCCGCTCCTCCGGCGGACCGCCTTCCGCGAACAAGCAGCCCGCAACAGGTACTTTGCTCTTTTCCTTTTGCGCGGTTATAGGTTAGGTTTCCAATTAGTTTTCGTCTTGCGCGAGCTTCGTTAGCGAAATACTTAGGTGGTCCTTCTGTGACCTTCTAGGAATAGAACCTGCACTCCAACTTGCCGCTGGGACGTCGACTGTTAGGCGTAGAGCATCCTCGGTGGTTGGCGATAACCTGGGAGGATTCGACTACTCAGAGGCTGAGAGCGAACCGCCCACTGCTCCTGTTGCCCTTTCGTCTGACAGTGAGTCTGGTGAGCGCCCAGTGGCGGGCGAAGGGAACTTGCAACTATCTGGCGAACGGCCAGTAGAGAGTGAGAGGGAGCTATCCCCTTCGCTAGCGATATCTGAGTCGCTCCCAGTAGCGGCGTTCCAAGCCGTCAATGACAGTGTATACCGTGTGAGACTGCACGCGGACATGTGGGAAGGGGAGGCGGTCCCTCAGAGCGCGTTTGAGCAAGGACCGCCTAACGAAGCGGCCTACAAGCCTCATCAAGTTTTGCGCCAACTGAAGGCGCACGGTCTCCCCGCGGATTGGGACTATGCGGCCCCTTCACTCGTTGGGCGGTCCAGGTCGTGCCCCGGAGGTTGGATCCCCATCCACGTGGAGCACATTCGGATGGGGTTGACTTTTCCGCTAGACCCCATCATCACTAGAACACTTTTGTTCCTCAACTGTTCCTTGGGCCGCTTATCGCCCGGCATAGTCTTCCACTCCATCGCTTTTAGAGCCGCCTGTGAGACAATCGGGGAGGCGGCCTCTTTTGATGCGTTTCGGTTGCTATACAAGATGAGGGGCTCGGAAAACTGCTGGTCCTGCTACCGTCGAGAAGCGAAGATAGGATTTGTCAACGGGGCCCCGAAATTGGACTCTCCTTGGTTCAAAGAGTATTTTTTCGCCCGTCCCAAAGGCAGTTGGTACTCTGGTGACGTAGAGCCGCCAACCGGCTTCGCGGTTGGAGATAAGCGGGATTGGAATACTGACATCGTCGGCCTTAGAACTTTTAGGCCGTTTTTGAAGCGGCTTATGAGCGCTTATCGGATTGATATCCCTTCGAAAGGCAGTGACAATGCTCTGGAGATAATTCGGCGTTTTCATGGTTAGCCGCTTTCCCTTTATACTAATTGCATGCACTTGTCCATTACTCATGTCTTTTGTTTTCAGGTGCCCGCCGCTATGCTTCTGCTGCAAGACCGCCGAAACCTGGAGCCGGCGCTCCCTCTTCTCCTCATCCTGCTAACGCCGCTCATTCAGCGGCTCCTGCTGCTCAACCGCTTTCACCCTCGCAAAAGCAACTTGTGCCCAGCCGCTCAGGAGTTTTAAAATTTTCTGAGCCTGCCCCCCTCCGGAGGTCCTCAAAGCGGCCTTTGGACATCACAACTTCGAGGGACTTGGCCGCAACCGCTCCAGAGCCTCGATTGAAAGGCATTTTGGTGGAGAAGCCTGCTACTCCACTTGACGCGTACGTCGCTCCTAAGAAGCCCAAAAGGACCGCTGTCGATACCTCCGTTTCCTTCTCGTCCCAGGCTTCCCTCTATCCTTCGGCCGCTAAGCGCGCCATGCATGTGATCGTCGAGGGTCTGGCGGTTCCCAGTGATTACACTCACACTTCGGGGACTCCTGTCTTAGCCTCGGATACCAAACATCTGGCGGCCGCCACCTCGCGGCTCTTCTTTGCCGTATACGCCCTTCTCATTGCTCCGGTTTTGTTACCATGCTCAGTTGTTTTCACTTAACTTTAATTGTTTACAAACCCAGTTTTGTTTAAACCAAATGATGCTGCAAAACGACCGCCAGGAGAGTGACCTTTTGGACGAGAAGACTCGGGTCCTCAAGCTAGAGGATCAGCTCAAAGAGGACCGCGAGGGGATCAAAGCGGAAGTGCGGGAAGAGGTTTTGAAGGAGCAGGCGCAGCTGTTGAAGGAGAAGGACGTTCAGGTGGAGTCGGCCAGGGAACAGCTGAAGAAGGTCGAAGCAGATGCTGAGCGGCTGCGGGCGGACCTTAATGATTCTCTTGCTCGTGAGAGCGCCTTGCAATCTGAGTTGTCCAAGATCCGGGCGGAGAAATCCGAGATGCAGGACGCTCGCGAGGCTGACATGTTGCAGGCTGCCAAAGAAGCAAGGGAGACATTCTGGACCTCCGCGGAGTACCAGGTCGCGGACGACAAGAAGTACAAGAAGCTACTTCGCGACACCATGGCCGCCATCCGTCATTGGTTCCGCCGTGAATACCCCGAAGTAGTGTGGGACACTAACTCGATTTGGGATGCGGTTGAGTTCTGGAGTGATGACGATATCAACTCTGAGTACGTGCCGTCCCCCGAAGCGCCCACAAATCCTTCGGCGAGCATCGCGGCCGGAACCGCGTAAGATGGGGAGGGGAGGCAAGGAGGAGAGCAGCAAGATGGTGAGGAGCGTCTGGATGGGGAGGACGGTCAACAGCTAGATTAGGTTTTGAGCTGGACTTATTTTTCATTCCCTTCGTTGTGTAACTTAATCTGCCTCGGCAGTAAATACTTTGGTGTGCCCCTTGTGGGTGCATCTATGGAATGCTTGAATTTTCTTCATATTTCCCTGTGCTCACATTTCCCTTTTAGGCGGCTCCCGGGTTCTG